AATATTTGAATTGTTTTGTACATATTTTGGACATTTCTTTTTGTATTTTGAACACTTTTCAAGAAATTTTAGGCAAATTTTAAGTCTCTTTAGACAATTTTTGAGTCATTCTGGACATTTTAAAGTCATTTAAAACATTTTTGAGTCATTTTGAACAAATCTTAAGTCATTTAGAGTTCTTTTTGTCATTTTGGAACATTTTTGAGTCACTTTCTAGAAATCTTTAGGCTTTCTGAACACAGCTGAATCACCGCAGACAGACGTTAAGGTCGTTCTGCTCTTCAAACGACTGATTGGTTTCAGGGAAAAAGAAACCTGGATGTTATCTGCAGATGCATGTTTGTTGTTTAACTGGTGTGAAGCCGTTTGGTCTCATTGATTTGTGCGTTTGATCATTTCAGGGCTCCTCAGCAGATCGCAGCCAGTGGAGGGAACCGACCCGGACCTCCGACGGCCTGTGTTCTTTATACGAAGCGGCACTCTGTCTGTTTGAAGAAGTAAGAAGCGTTTATGTCAGCAGGACTGCCTTCAGGGTTCTGTTCAGACGTCCTCAGATCTCCAGCAGCTTTAACCGTGTCCTCTCCTTCCTCCAGGTGTGCCGGATGGCGTCGGACTACTCTCGGACCTGCGTGAGCCCGGACAGCATCCAGACCGGCGAGGCGCCCGTCGTGTCGGAGACCTGCGAGGTTTACGTCTGGGGCAGCAACAGCAGCCACCAGCTGGTGGAAGGAACGCAGGAGAAGATCCTGCAGCCGAAGCTCGCCGCCAGCTTCGCCGACGCCCAGACGGTGAGAAGACGCGCTGCATTGATCTGATGGTTTCAGAAGGACCGTCTGGGTCTAACAGATAACGTTCTGGAGTCGGTGGATGAATTGTGCAGATGAGCATTGAAGAGCTGTTACGTCAACACGATTCCACAAAGCGTTTAGATCCAGATTACATTCACGTTTCAAGTCATGTTAGGCAAATTTTAAGTCATTTCGAAGCATTTTTGAGTGATTCTGGACACGTTTTGAGTAATTTTAGACAAATCTTAAGTCATTTAGGATTTGTTTTGTCATTCTAAAAAATATTTGAGTCACTTGGACATTGTGTTCCATACTGAACAATATTTCAGTCATTTGGACCATTTTGGAGTCGTTTTGTACATCTTTTGTATTTTGAACACGTTTCAAGTCATGTTATGCAAATTTAAGTCTNACAAGATGCTCCACGACAACAGAAACATGGGTCGATAGTCTGATCCCAGTAGAGCAGCGTTCTATCAAATATAACCGACCTTCATGTTCTTTAATGTGCACATGTTGTTCATGTTCTAACCCTGATGGTTCTCTGACACTGTGCAGTGTGTCTTCCTGTGTCACAGACAGATCATCTGTTCCTTTAATCCTGATGTTTCTGTTTCCTGCCTCCAGGACTGATGGCTCCAGAGTGACGTCATGGCTCTAATGATCCCCCCGGTGAAGCTCAAGTGGCTGGAGCACCTCAACAGCTCATGGATCACGGAGGACAGCGAGTCCATCGCCACGCGGGAGGGAGTGTCGGTGCTCTACTCCAAGCTGCTGGCCAACAAGGAGGTGGTTCTGCTGCCCCAGCAGGTCCTGTGCCTGAAGGGCCCCCAGCTGCCGGACTTTGAGCGCGAGTCCCTGTCCAGCGATGAGCAGGAGCACTACCTGGACGCTCTGCTTGGCAGCCAGCTGGCTTTGGCCAAGATGGTCTGCTCAGACTCCCCGTTCGCCGCCGCGCTGCGCAAACGGGTTCTGGTGCTGCAGCGCATCTTCTACGCTCTGTCCAACAAGTACCACGACAAGGGGAAGGTGAAGCAGCAGCAGCACTCCCCCGAGAACAACTCGGGCTCGGCCGACCTGCACTCGGTCAGCGAGCGTCCCCGCTCCAGCACCGACGCCCTCATCGAGATGGGCGTCCGCACCGGCCTCAGCCTGCTGTTCGCTCTGCTGCGGCAGAGCTGGATGATGCCGCCTCCGCCCGGGCCCGGAGGGAGCCCCGGCGGCAGCATCAACCTCTGCAACGACGTCATCCACACCGCCATCGACGTGGTCAGCTCGCTGCCGCCGCTGTCTCTGGCCAACGAGAGCAAGATCCCCCCCATGGGCCTGGACTGCCTGGCCCAGGTCACCACCTTCCTGAAGGGCGTCACCATGCCCAACTCCGGCGCCGACATCCTGGGCCGGCGGCTGGCCTCGGAGCTGCTGCTGGGCCTGGCCTCGCAGAGAGGGTCCCTGAGGTACCTGCTGGAGTGGATTGAGATGGCCTTGGCCGCCTCGGCCGTGGTCAGCACCATGGAGCAGAACAAGCTGCTGCAGAACCAGGAAGGACTCATCGGATACGACTGTTTCATGAACATCCTGATGCAGATGAGACGCTCGCTGGTGAGTCGTCAGCCTCAGTCTTTAGGAGGAAAACAGCTGTGACTCAGCAGGTTGTCGGAGTTTGGTTCTTGGGTTCTTGGTCCAATAGCAAGCAGCTCTGACGCCACTGATGTGTGAATTAGAAACGCATTGCAAAGCGCTTTGAGTCCCAGAAAGGTAGGAAGGTGTTACACTAGACCATTCACCAGATTAGGAGCTCGGACAAGCAGGTCCTTCTTTTCTTTTCACTTATCTGTCTTCCTGTTCCACTTAAATCGAAAGTTAAAAGCCAGGAGTACCTGCATGGCACAGCGACCCGGCAGCAGCTCCGTTTAGCAAAATGAAATGAGTCTTTAGTGCAGGATGGTCTGACTGCCCCTCAGTGTTACTGCTGTAGGGGAACAATGCTCTGGATGGTTTGTGTTTCTTTAAACCAGGGGTTGATTAGCCGCCTAGAACTGAGTCAGCTGTCTTCCTGCACAGTCCAAACCCTCTGCAGAACCGGCTCCTCACAGGTTGTTTCCTGAAGGAGACACCAGTAGATGGTAGAAGGAGATAAAGTCAGCAGACATCCATCCAGTCTGTCAGGAAGGTGTGAATACGGGGAGTTTTCAGGGGTTTAATCGGTAAAATCACTCCTCTGGTCTCATATTCCAGTTTGTACATCCTCCATTTCTTTTCCTTGGAGTCCAGTCGTCCTGCTGCTGTTTTATGACCTCTGCAGATGAGCAGGACCGTTTTATGATAGTGAACAGGATGTATTTACTTATAATTCAATTCACTACGTGGCCTAACGTGACCGTGATGTTCAGTCGACACAACATGCTGCTGTAGAGGCGTCGTTTAGGAGCTAAGATCCTACACGATGGACAGAAGTTCACAGAGCAGGAGATGTTCTGCTTCCTTTATGCTTAAAGACGTTAGTGCTGCAGTGAACCACGGACTGAGATCTGAGCTGCTCTTCAACCAACCCATCAGTCACAGGAAGAAACATCTGCA